GTGATTTTCTTTGGGGTTTGCCGGCTGTGAGGAACTGGGCAGGACAGAAACCCCAACAAGCAGGCCCCTTCATGCTACACCAGGGACCTTACCCCTCCCCAGTTTCTTTCTTGTCCCCTATTTGACTTTTCCAATCCTTTAATTCTGACACCCTGAGTATAGAAACTGAGTATAGATACTTCAATATCTCTGAGATAAATAGATTTCATCTAAAGGTAGAGTCAGCATTTTGTCTTGTCTCAGTAGGAAACTTGTTAATTTACTTCTGATTTTAGACAGCTGACGTTAGTCTCAGAGAAAGGGAGATGAGATGACAGGCTCTCTTAGCAGTTTTGGAAGGGCAGGCTAATTAATACTCCTGAATTACTAATGTCCCTGTCAGACGTTGTTTGAAATGGACTCCTGAATGCCCAGGTCAGTGAATCGGCCTACCACACTTGATTCACTTGGCTCTGATTTTGGAAACTAATTTTTAGGGAATAATAAAAGATTGTGTTTCCAAATCTTTTTTGTAAAGTCACTACCAATTTGATACTGAATCCTGAATGGAGACAAACAAAGAGAATTATTTCAATTTACCAATAAATATATACATGTGAAAATTCCCTCAAAACTGCTATGTGGATTAAATTCATGAAGATGCCCTGTAATAGTATATGTCACACCATTAGCAATACAATTTACTTCAAGACAGAAAACCACTTCAACATTATGAAACATTTCATTACAGGAAATTGCCAAAGCATTATGTAGAAATGTACAAGCATTTATTTCTGAAAACTTATATGAGTCTACTAAAAATGATCATATATTCTAAAGCTGATGCCTAAAAATGATAAAGCTCTTCCATAGTCTATCAATAATTAGGATAAAATATTAAAAACATCTCTTGCAAGACCAAATAACTAAGCTCCATAATGATCTACCGGCGGTAGGTGAAGAATCCTTCACCAGGTTAATGAGGCACAAATGATTCATGGACCAATAAAAAGATAAACCACATCAGACCTTCACAGCTGTTTAAAGTTGCTGTGCAATTGAGGGATGCACGTCAAACTCTAAATACATGCTAAGAATCAATATAGGGCCAGGCCGTGGTGGCTCACACCTTTAATTCTGCACTGGGAGGCAGAAGCTGGCGGATCTCTGTGAGTTTGAAGCCAGCCTGGTCTACAGAGTGAGTTCAGGGACAGTCAAGGCTACCTAGAAAGAAACCCTGTTCAAAGAACAAAAACAAACAGACAAAGAGTCGATCAAAAAATAATGATGATCATTTGAGAACAAAAAGTACTGGTGGTTGGTGGGGTGGGCTTTCTGTATGAGCTGTTTCTCCATAAGTATGAAAAAGTTTACCCTCAAAATTCACCGTGACTTGATCCATGCTAACCAAAATGAAAATATTCTTTGTTAAGAGCTTTGCTTCTTTTTTTCCCCCACACAGTCTTCTCCCCCCACCTCTCTCTCTCTCTCTCTCTCTGTGTGTGTGTGTGTGTGTGTGTGTGTGTGTGTTTGTGCATGAGTGTGTATGTCTGTTCTTATAATTGAACCCAGGGCCTGGTACATGCTAAGCACTCAGGGCCATTGAGCTATAACCACAGCCAAGGTTCACAGTCTAAGTCCCAGGTACAGCTGTGCTCTCTGAAACCCTCACTGTCCTTCAGAAAGACAACTCTTCTGTCCGGTTTTCCTTCTGCTCCTCACAGATAAGTGCCAGTCAGGGATCTCTTTCCCTAATTCCTCTATAGCCCAACATCTAGGGAACAATTCTAATCCTGTTCTCATCCAATTGTCAACAGGATATTTATACAGCAGATTTGATAAGGCATTCATCTGGAATCAGGGTCTACCAGGAGCAGGAGGAGAATGGGGACTGAATAAGAGTGTGCTTTGATAGTGAGCCCCAGGTTTGGGTTGAGGGCTCCTGTTACACAAGTCTTGTGTACCCTACTGATGGATAGGCATTCTGGTCAAGCCGCATGAATTACCAGGGCCAAGAAGCCTTGTGGGGAAAAACCATAAGCTTTGCTTTCTGCTTGACTGCAGATATAGTTTATCGAAGCTCATGGATTAAAGAGTAAAGTTATCTGACCGAGTTCCATGGTCTGCAAACACACTATAAGTAAATGCTGGAGAAAAGGTCCTGTTTCACCAAATGGCCCAGATCGTTGGAGCCTAGGCTTTGGAAGTCCAGTGGCCATCAGTATGGAGAGGAGAGACTAAGCCCGCAAAAGACTGTACAGATGTGTGCCGGAAAACATCTGCTGGGCAGAACAACGCAAACGAGTGAGCAGACCAGTGACTGGGAGCTGCAGTGTGTGTGTGCTTACATCAACCAGGTGGTGACCTGTGCTGCATTAACTCAGGAATCACTGCGTCCCCTGGAATGGCATGTCCCAAAGATGCCTAAAGTCACACTGTCAGACGTCCAGGAGTTGAGGTGCATCATGAGTGGGTGGAGGCAGATTGGGATTATGGGGTAACACACTGAACTGAACACAGCAGTGGGGCTCACTTGTCCATTTTCAGAGCTCAGAGTTCTGGATGCAGAGGGTTTGGGACAGAATCTGGAATTAATCACATGCTCAATGTTTGTTGAACTGCCAAGTATATTTTAAATTGTATTATTATGTTTATACCTACATTAAGGAAGAAAGTTTCTTTATGGGGAGCAACCTTCAATGCTATTCCTTCTGTAACTTGGTTGAAAAATTTGGGTTAAAGGGGCCTGCAAGATGGCTCAGTGGGTAAAGGAGCTTGCCACCAAGTCTGACATCTTGAATTTACTTCTCCAGGACCCACATCATGGGAGGAGACAACTGACTTCCTCATGTGTTTTCTGACAGACACACATATGCGCAAGCACATATATACATATGCATAAAATAAACAAATAAAGCCATTGAATTATAAATGTTTTAAAATGTAGATTAATATATGCAATATTCAACACTGTGATGCAAAGTACAATGCTTATTCTACATATTAAAAAGCATTTCATACTTCTCTTTTCTTTTTAAAATTTTTGTGTAGAAATAGAGGAATTCTAAATTGCATCCAGTGCTATATACATCTAGTAACTCTAAGTGTTGAGAGCCCAACATTTTAAAATAAATTGTATTAAAATTAATTTTAAAGTTTAAAATGGAGATATGGGCTGGGCATGGTGGCACACGCCTTTAGTCCCAGCACTCAGGAGGGACGGATCTCTATGAGTTCGAAGCCAGTCTGGTCTACAGAGTCAGTTCCAGAACAGTCAGACCTATGCACAGAGAAACCCTGTCTAAAAAAACAAAACCAAAAACCAAAACCAACAACAAATAGACAAATAGCTATGTACCACATTGAGAATGTCAACAATGTATGGGAAGGGTTTCAGTTTTACTGTGTATACTTATTTTTAAACTCTTAGAGGAACAAGAATTCACGTAATCTTTTTGCAATGAAAAAGCAAAAGAGAAAGAAAATAAATAAGACATTATTTCATGTATAAATTTTTAATGACTCCCTCCTCCATGTAAAACCTATCTTACTATATTCAGAGTTCTCTGCGCTAGAAAACACATGGAGGAATTCAGATATAGTCCCTACCCTCAAGAGGACTATATAAAGGCACATGTCTAAGATGCTTGAAGTAGGAACAAGAATGAAGTGACTTCAAAGACATTGTCTGGGACCAGATCTACAAGGTCAGCATCATGTTGTTCCATGTAATAAATAGTTCCCAAGTACTTTAAGAAGACTGGTGCTAATTTATGGTAGGCCTGAGAATCTCTTTTCATGCCCATTATTTTTATTTGTAAAAACCAGCATCCAGCCTTCAAACTGCTGTCTCCAGATGTCAAAAATATCATCTTATTTTAGTTTCAGTCTCGAGAGTGGACAAAAAGTAATTTAGGCACATATTTAAGGGGTGGAAATGTTATGCCAAAAAGGATGCTTGATACCTGTATAGTAAAAAGTTCTTTCCTTTGATCTCATGTGGAAACAAGTCAAGTTGGGATCCTCCCAAAAGTCAGAGGACCATTTGGGGTTGCTAAAATCCAACTGATGTCTCAAGTGTAGTGCTGCTTTGAAAGAGAGCAGCTAGCGACACAAATGTTAGGTTGCCTATTAGCAATGGCGATAAACAGTGTAAAGGAGCTGTTAGAAATCATTGGTGAAAGATTTAGACCTCGAAATCAGGACAAAAGGTCGGGACTAACGGGCACAGAGATCACCTCTGCCAGGGACTAATACTAAGCTGCATATCTAATGCTGCTCTATGTTTGCTACAGGGGAAGTAGATGGGTCTGCCTAGCAAGGAAAGGACCCACTTCATGTGGTTAATAATACAGTTAATGGTATACATATATGATTTGGTAAATTTTGGCAGTATTTAATAATAAATAATAAATACATTTATTATTTAATAATTAAATAATAAATCTTTTGCCCTCTTTAATGCAAAGTGAGTCATTTTACCTCTTTACTTTGCCTAGTTCCTAAATTTGCTGCTGTGAACTATATTTTAAATTCAGGCAAAATGGAAGGACAACTGATCGTCACAAAACATGATAGCCAATCAAGGTGATAGCATTGCGGAATAGAATAAAGTCTTAGCATTTAACATATCTTATAATAAAGATTTATCACAGCAAAGATCTAGGCTAGAATATGGAGGTCACAGTTATGGACTTCCGACTTTATTTTCAGGTAAAAACGAGTCTTTCAATAGTAATTGATAGGTCAATCGGCTAACTGCAGTGCTTAGGATAACTGGGGAGTGGAACTCCATGTGGCGGGAATATAAAAACCCCACAGGAGATCAGTTACCCGATGCCTGACTCAGTGTAGGGAGAAGAGAAGTTTTGTCCTTTGCATCCCGGAAGTAACTTCTATTTTTCCACAGATTTTTAAAGATATGTTGAGACATCTCTCAGTTTGCAATCGTAGGTCTTCCTTTATTTTTATGTATAGACATTTTAGAATGTGCAGAAATGCCACGTTTACTCTGTGTTATTCAGGAGAGAACGTGGATGCAATCCCCTACTACCACGAATCAATGCATTTGAGCGTCCTTCATTTGGAGAAATCACAGGGGTCAGCCTATCTGGAGTCCAACGGATGATGCTCACCCCCGGAAAACCACCTTCGTGATCCTGCTATTTCTTCTGCCAGGTAAGTATATGAAATGTCGCATTTCAACTCGATTAGCTTTGACCTATGGCTTTTATGAAGACTTTCCAAACAAGTGGGAAATTCTTTTAAGTTCCACCATAAAACTAGCATTGCAACGTTTAACACGGGCAGTTTTGACACTCAAAATTGATTTCACATAAACAGTCATCAGAACGAATGTCTCGCTATGGCAATTCATAGCTACATCTGAAATAACTTTGAGTTTTTCAAAAGCCTGTGCAGAAGGAGCAGGCCTGCTGAACTGGAAACGTGTCAGGCAGATATGCGACAAGCAAATGCCGTCCCTCAAACTGATCTCGACCTGAATAACCTCCAAGGAACTTTTGATGTGGTTCCAGGCTCAGAGAACAAAATAGGAAACAATTTCCATGGTGTAAGTGTTCCAGAACTTCCCTGGACAGGATCAGAGGGGTGTTCTGACCACGAACTTGAACGAGGATCGTGGATGGGGTCTAAAGAGCGACAAGCGGACCGTTTTCTAAGGCTGGAAAACGGGAATGACCCTAGGAAAATTGCTGTTTTTGCTGAAGTACTGTCTATGAGTCACTGTGCATGCTAACCTGGCTCCAAATCACAACTAGCTGAAAAAGAAGCCCAAGAATCCGTAGACATGGGATCAGTCCAAGGCAACACGAAACAGTCAGAAGCTGGCATTTCTAATTTTTAATTACATTTTAGAACATCACACAATTTTGGCAAATAACAGGGAATGCTTTTCTTTCACGCGCTCCCCCAATATTTAATTATGGCACATTCAAAACTGTATCGCTTCAAGAGCGTCCAAGTTTTGAATGAGACAAAGATGCCGAGGATTAGGGCACAAGATTAAATTTTGTCAGGGTTGGGTTTTGTTCTGTTTGGGGTTTTCCAGATTTCCAGCGAGCGCATTGTTGACCTCTTCCACAGTACCTCCTTCATAATCCTTTCTCTGAGCGCTTAATCCAGAGCTCAGTGATTCTCAACCTGGCTAATGCTGCGGCCCTTTAGCACACTTCCTCATGTCGTGGTGAACCCCAACCATCAAATTATCTTGTTGCTTCCTCACAACTGTAATTATGCTACTATTATGAATTAAAATGTAAATGTTTGATGTTTCCAATGGTCTTAGGTGACCCCTGTGAAAGGGTCATTCAACCCCCAAAGGAATTGAAACCCACGGGTTGAGAATCGCACCTCTGTGCCCTCAGCTTTGGCTCTGGGAACAAACTGTGCTTTAATGTGAGCAGTTGGATTATACAGGGCTCTAGATTCCTGTATTGCACTTTCAGGCTCCTTCCCAATGATTCCCTCTCCTTAACTCAAATATTCCCTTAGCCTGACGGATTATAAACCGGGTTCCTACTGTACTTTAGCTACACACATTTCTTGGAAGCCGACTCTTAGGTGTTTGTTTCATCTCTGTCTCTTGAGCTTAGAAATTAAATTTAAGATTAAGGAATCAATTTGGGAATGGTTTCTCAGGCTTTTAATTCCAGTAGCTGGGATGCTGATGCAGGAGGATGCCCATGAGTGATCCCAGTCTGGAATATATAATGAAGTCTAGAAAACCTGAGTCATAAGGAGTTTCAAAAACAAACAAGGAAGCAAAACAAAACAAAAGCATGAAACTGTCACTCAGAGAGACTTCGTGTGACCGATGTCCTACACTGCCAGCTGCCCTCGAGGCATTTGCTCTGATCACACTGGTCTCTTTTAAAAGACCTCATTTCTCATCAGGAGACCTCTGCAGCCTTATTCTGATTGCTGCACTTCAGGAGGCCCAGGAACAGGTTGAAGAGCGCTATTGGCCAGATATTAATTTTACTTTTATTTTATCGTTCCAGTCTCGAGATTAAATTGTTCTTTACTAAACCTGTGCGTCCTTTTCCAACTCTGTAACTCACTTGTAAGAGGCTGGAAGCATGGATGCAGGTTCTTGACTGCATAAACCTGGAGAAAGGACCCAGTGGCTGGCGAGTTTGGCACCAAATCTGGCTGTAATCACTTAGACAACCCATGAGTTCCCTCTGGTGCCCCTCTTCCCTAGCCATCTGGCTCCGTAGTTTCCCTTAGCTCTTAAGTCACATTTCATAAGATGAGTTCTTTGGGGTGAGGTAAATAGCTTTGCTTTTAGAGTCTTTTTCACAGGAATTCAAGTGGAAGAAAAGAGAAATATTTGTATGCCTCCCACCACGCCTGATGTTTAGACCTGTTTGCTATGCCTGCTTTCCCAACATCTATAGTGTGATGTGAATAGCTATTCTTAAAGCAGAGCACACAAGAGAACATGGTTGTTAAAAAACAACAGGGCTTGCTGTAGTTGGGGGTGGTGGTGGGGTGGTCACCATTCCCAGAGCTCCCACCAAGGCTGTGCTGGGGCAAAGCACAGGGACGTTCACAGCACCTATGGGTCACAGGTACCCAGGGTTGAATTTGTCATTTGCAATGGGAGGCAAATAGTAGTTACTGATTGCAAAGCTGTACTTTGGATCTGACTTCTTGACACTTTAGAATAAGTGCTTAAGAAATAAGGAAGTTTTAGACCTCCCATTTAGCAGATGTGAAGGACATTCTCTGAAGCACCATCTCTGAAAAAAAAATTGATCAACTTTTTAACTCATGTATTATACGAACATGTAAATGAACACATAAAATAAAAGAGAGTTCTGTCTTGTTATAAAGTGTTTGGAAAAAAACTAACTCTACCTAATCTAGACATTAACTAATTAGCAATTGTTGAGACAACAATTAAAAATGACTTCTGTCGTCTTTCTATCTTTCAAATTTCTACACTCAGTCATCCTCGGGCTCAACCTTCAGAATGTTGGGATGAAAGGCATGCACCACCATTTGCAGTTGAAGTTCAACTTTATTTGTTGTAAGGGCTTTGAGATCCCTTAGTATACTTATATTATTTGAGAATCCATAAATTAGAGGTGTAGTGGCATTTCATTTGTATTTTAATAAATAAAACTTTCCTGCAGATCAGAAAAGTAAAACAGTCACACTGGCCAGCCATACAGACCAGAGAGCAATGACACATGCCTTTAATCCCAGTAGCCACCCTAGTTGCCATAGAAACCAGGCAGTAGTTGTGTACACCCTTAATCACAGAACTAGAGAAGATTATAAAAGAGGAGAAGACAGCTCTCAGTCTCAGTCTCATTCTGAGGTTCCCTGGAGACAGAATCACCATTTTCAGACTGAGGCTGTGGTAAGAACCATGGCTGGTTGCTTTACTTTTCTGGTCTTCAGGTTGAACCCCACTATCTGTCTCTGAGTTTTTATTAATCATGCTTCATAGAGGTATAGTATTTTTCAAATATAGATCCTGTCCTCACCAAGACAGAACATAAAACAATATGGGCAATGCTACTCCAGGCAGTTCAGAATCTTGACTCGATTCTTTAAAGTTGGCAATGAACTTCTAGACATCATGGTCTACCACATGCAACATGAAATGCCAAGGGGTCAGCTTTCCTAGCCATGCTAACGTTCTAGTTCCTGAGATTGCAAAGCATGGGATGTATAGTTACCTCACAGATAATAATGCTAATAATAATAACAAAAACAGCAACAAAGCTTAAGAAACACTCACAGGCATGACACACACAAAAACAAAAACACGAAACTAGAAACCATAACACACAAGCACCAGTAAGATTTTTTTTTTAAATGTCCAAAGAAAGCAATATGTGGCAAAAAAAAAAATCTATAGAACCACTACTGAGTGTGCTCTGGATTGGCTGTCTACTGTCAGGCATGAGGCAAACTCTTAAGTGTGGCTTATATATCGAGTGAGACACCGTGGAAGAAAACTAAATTTTCTTTTGCAAGCGGCTGTCAATTGGAGATAGGTTCTGGGTTAGGGGTGGGGTCTCGTGCCCTTTCCTGTCTCAGCAGTGGGACTCCATCTGGCCGAGAAATGTGCAAGCTGTCAGAGTCTTTGTGGGCTCATCTGGGTGTCTGTCCCAGGGTGTTACATCTGGAAGACACTATTTCCCTGATTTCCTCCCTCCCCCCGCTTCTTCCAATCTTTTCACCTCCTCTTCTGCATAGTCCCTTAAGCCTGGAAGGGAAGGGTTTGATGAAGACGGTCCGTTTGGGATAGAGTGTTTGAAAGTTAGAGTACTATCTTTAATACAACATTTTATACCCGATCATTTTAGAAAGGTCTGAGGTCTCTCATGGCTAATGAATCCATGCTCAGCAGGTACTGTCCTCTGATCTAAATCCATCCTCACCAGATACTGGCCTCTAATCTAAATCATTGCCGCCAGGCCCTGCCCTCTCTCTAATCTAATCTGTTTGTAGAAAATGTGAGAATCTCTTGCACGTAATGGAATGAGACCTGGTCAGTTTATGCAGAAGGACCTATCAACAATCAGTTTCCAAAACAGGGAGCAGAGGTACAGGAATGGGAAAAAAGTGTCCTACTACTGGAGGAGACTAGAAGCTATGAAATTAACACATCAAGATAATCCACTGAAAATCAACCAGAAGGAAGAAGATGCACCCATTTCTCCTACTTTGCCCCAGTGACTTTGACCCCTTGCCCGCAGGAGTGGAGGGCGGCATTGCTTCAACAGCCTCAGTCTTTGTGTTTTTAACTCTGTTATTTCTCTTGAGTGAACAGACATGACAGAGGCTTTTCCTTTTCTCTTCTAAACTCAACCTTCTCCCTCCCCATTTTATTAGATAAAAAGGCCATGTGAAGTACTGCTTTCCCGTTTGGTGTATTTTTGCAATTGATAGCCCCCTCATTCCTGCCACCAGTATCTTATTATTCATTTCACTGTTGGATAGGACCTTGTTACTGCCAGAACCACCAGTATCTTATTATTCATTTCACTGTTGGATAGGACCTTGTTACTGCCAGAACACTGAGGATTTCACAGCCCTTATCTGAAATAAAGTGTCTACCACATCTGACATTCTGTCCTGAGAATTCCTTACTCTGACTTTCCTGGGTCGGACTGTCTCTAGAACTACACAAACCATATGTGGT